TCTAACGGTTAAAACAAAATGGTAATTTAAAAAAATAATTCGTTAGATCATCAACACATGTCCTATATTTATACAATTTTCCCGCTTAAAATTTTAAGCCACTCATTTATGCACATTAAACTTCCAATCTCGCAATTAAAGTAAACCTAGTTTGCTAACGGCAAACAAGGCTACTTGGGGGGAAAACGGAGTTTTTTCGCTCCCAGCCCTATTACAATAAAAGTAAACCTAGTTTGCTAACGGCAAACAAGGTTACTTGGGGGGGAAAACGGAGTTTTTTCGCTCCCAACCCTATTACAATAACAGTAAACCTAGTTTACTAACGGCAAACAAGATTACTTAGGGGGAAAAACGGAGTTTTTTCGCTCCCAACCCTATTACAATTAAAGTGCAAAAACGGAATGATACTATCGGTAATGATTTACATGCCCATGCTTTTTATTCATCAATTACACAAACATATACCAGAAGTTATCCTAAATATTCATATACACTATAAAATAGAAAATGCTCAACAGAGTGCAAGAATACACTGTATTACTCACGTTAAAAATCAAATTGAATCAAGTGAGAACATTAGATCATCTAATCAAACGTCCTCACTCGGGGGCTAGTTGTATGGGGAAATATTTACATAATATTTACATTAAGGCCGATACTGTATGATAGGCCGATATTGTTTTTTAGGCCGATATACTATTTGAATCCGGTTCATCGGCAACTCTTGTTAATATCGGCATTTATACATAAAGCATACATATCGGCATGTAAGCAGCTGACACGTGTCGTTCTCACGATTGACACGTGGCAAAAATTACTTTGCCTATTAAACTGTCACCCGTCACTTAATCAGCCTATAAATAATCTGGGTTTACCTCATAAATAAGGTAGCATTTATTACACTCTCTCTCTCTCACTACTTTCTCTCTCTAAATAATCTCTTTCTTCTTTCTATAAACACTTGCTGACTTAATATTTGGAGTGGTTATCCCCGGATTCACCCCGAGGCTAGCTAATCTCTTCTCTGTGTGTAGGTTCTTGTTTGGCCGATAGAAGCTGAACGGGTTATATACTCGAGCTTCGGATCTTGGAGTTGGGTCATTGGAGTCCTACAGAAACAATTATGATGTCTGGTATGGTATTTGCATCACACCATGGCGAGGGCACCTACAAAAATGCAAGTGCTACCACCACGATGAGGTGCAAACAGTAACTAGACTTTGTAACTAGCAAAGGCACCTAGCGTTTATTGCACTCTAATTATCCAACCATGGTGGTGGCATATGCATTGGATGTCGCCTCTATGGCAAAGACGCGTATCTAAGCCACCATGATGATGGGCCATAAAAATTAGACTCATCGTAATGGAAAGTGGTGAATTTAATTTTGATGGGACGAAGAGAGTAAAGAATATAAAGAGCAATAGGCTTATAGATGTTCAATAATATATTTAAATTTTAAATGACATAACACTATGTAGAATAATACAAACAAACTAATGTATATGCATTAATATGTTCCATTTCACTTTTGAATGTTTGGATAGGAATTATCCACCAAACTTCCCAATCAATCATAGAAGAATTATTGTCATTGGAGCACCTAAATTTAGACAATTATTCTTCGTATTATACTAATTCGTGCTATAGCACATTATAATGGATATGGAGTGCACAAGTGTAAAAAGCTAACACCACTTACCCAATTAAGTAGGCCATATATTTTGATTGGTTCGGTCATTCACTCATTCTCTACGCCAAAACCGTCGGTGGTTTGCTTTAGTGTTTGCTTCAAAATTCAAATTACGATAATGACATAAATAGACAAGATAGACTTCGTATCTCTATTCTTATTTATTGGTAAAGAGTAGAATAGACCCGGTCTACAATAACTTATTGTAGACCCAACCTTCTATTATACCATACGAATGTGATTATATCATACGAAATGTGATTATATTACTACAAAAGTGATTATACCATTTTGAAACTGTTATGTAAATGTATCACTCAAAAAGTAAAATTATCATTATAAAAAGTATGAAATGGTAAATTACATCATTCAAAAGATGATTTTTAAATTTTATCATCCTAAAGATAATTATATAATCTCATTAAATGGTTTAATATGAGATTATATAATTCAAAATATGACTCACAAAAAGATAATTATATTGTCTAAAAAAAGTGATTATATCATCCAGAATATGATTATATTATTTGAAAGTGTCAAATTTTGGGTCTACAATAATTTATTGTAGACCGGGTCCATACAAGACCAATTGTATTTACTTTACCAAAAGTTTGATAAAAGATTTTCTTAAAAATTAATTGTATTTATTTATTTAAAGATATCAGAATTGTATGTATGAAATTGTCTCATAGTGCAGTTAATTAATAAGAGTAAAGCAATAAGACATACGTAGTATATAGATATCAATCAAGAATTCAATATTGTTACACCTTACACGGTACGTGTTAACGTGGCTATTTAAACAAGTTGACATCATCATTTTGAGTCTTAAGCCTTATGATTAATATTTTTTCCCTTAAATCTCAAGCAAGTCTTAAGACTTAAGATTATGACCCACGTCACTTTTATTTTTATTATCTTTTTTTTTTTTTACACTTTTCTACATATAATATGTCATATATTTGAGTCTTAAGACTAAAGTGATAAATTTGTGCAAGTCTTAATGATTCTTAACAAATAACAATAACTTAATTGACATCATTTTCAATGGGGACCACCAAAAATGATGTCACATCCAAGTCTTAAGACTTGGGGGCTAAACTTGCTCAAATTAGTAACCCAACTACCAAAGTAATAAATCCTCTAGGCCCCGTTCTTTAGAATTACTCTGCTCTACTGAGCCCTACTCTGCTCTGCTCTGCTCAAAAGAAATATACTCTGCTCTGCTTAATTTTCAAATAATAATTAATAATAACAATAATAATAATTAATATTCAATAATAATAATTAATATTTTATTGATGATAATAATTTATTATTTTGAATAATTATAATAATTATTAATATTAAAAATAATTTTGATAATAAATAATAATAATAATTTTAATAATTAATTAATAATAATAATATTAATAATAATAATTTTAATAATTAATAATAATAATAATTAATAATAATAATTATTATTAATTAATAATAATAATAATTAATAATAATAATAATAATTTTAATAATTATTAATGATAATAATAATTAATAATAATAATAATTTTAATAATTAATAATAATAATTATTATTATTAATTATAATAATTATTATTAATAATAATTAATAATAATGATAATAATAATAACAACATTAATAATAATAACATTAATAATAGTTTAAATAATAATGTTAAAATCTGCTCTGCTCGGCTATCCTGAAATCTGCTTTGCTGAAATTTAATCTGCTCTGCTCGGCTATCCTGAAATCTGCTTTGCTGAAATTTAATCTGCTCTGCTCTGCCCAGAATCTCAAAAAAAACTGGGTCTGAGTCCCTTATTTTTTTGTGCTATACTCATTATTTTTTTTCCCATTTTTTTTTAGATATATAGAATCACATATTTACTCTCGTCATTTTTTTCCAATCAAAAATTAATAAAGTGTCATTAGTCTTATGGAGCAAAAAATAAGGAATGAACGGAGTACAATATAAAAACTCTTTAGTCTATACCCATAACCAAAAGCACTACAATTAATTTTTGTAACTCTAAACAATTATTTGGCAAGCACGTACCAGTCATCATAAAAGGCTACTCGGTCAGTTTTATGGGTTACTTGGGGCCTGTTCTCTTCCGTTGAAATTCAGTTCAGTTCAGTTCAATTCAGCTCCTAATTTCCTTCTCTTATAAAATATTCAGTTCAGTTCAGTTCAATTCAGCTCAGCTCAGTTCAATTCGGTTCAGTTCAATTCAGTTCGGTTCAGTTCAATTCAGCTGAATTCAATCAATGAGAACAGGTCCTTAGTCAGTATTACATACGGGATCGATTATTACACGGTCAATATATATTACAAGGGATCTAGGTTGCACGAGAACAGATACGGATACAAAACGAATACATACAAAAAACGTCAATCTCAATATAGGAGACAATGATACAATATGTTAAAATTTATATAACATGCTTTGTTTTTTTTTTTTAATCAATATTATTTAAATATCATATTACTATCATATTTTAATGCCAATAAAAAATTATCAGTTTAATCGGTATATTTGCCAAGACGTAACTTTGATCATTTATATCTTTAATTGTTAATTAGTAAAAATTATAACAAAATTATATTATGAAACTAGACACTATGACAAATCTAACAATATAATATAATATCATTTATTTATTTTATAAAGGTGAAAAAATTAAGTCTACCATGATATGTGAATAGTGCAAAAATTAAAAAAAAAAAAAAAAAAAAAAAAAAAAAAAAAAAGAGAGAGAAGAAAGTCAATAGTTTGGATTATTTTTGTTAATTTTTCCTTTAATATAACAAGGAATTACGAAGGCATCCATACTATTAACTTTTACCTTATATATTTCTCTTACTTTCCTTAAATTTTCTAAAAACAAGTGTTAAAAAAATGAGATAGCGAGACAAAAGGCAAAAAGGTTGTATCATATATAGTAGGACACGGTGTCAAAATTTCTGAATATATACATAATAAACTTGGATACAGTTTTTAGGTGTACATGTTCGAGATGTGTTGTCACGTGTCAAATTAGTATCAATGTTACAATACAGACACGATGGTTACATAAAGTGTCCACGTATTTTAACTAGAGATTATTCAGTCAGTGTTATAATAATAACTTTATTCTTTTATAAGAGGCCAATTGCATACAAAATGTGCGGGAATAATGACCAAAGTTTTCATTGTGGAGCGAAGGTGACATGCTCGTAACAAGATAGCATGTAATATTTTTGGATTTTAACAATAACAGTCACGTTAATACGTTATGGATAAAAATTCATAAAAGACTGGGCTCAACTGCTCAAAGCTTGCATGCATGGCTCCATTCATGCAAACAATTTTATTATTCAACAATAACCTCCCTCTTTTTTCACGAGGACAACACTACTTATACATTACATATTAGTAGCTTTAATTTCACCACATTACCATTTCAACAACACAACGACAACACAACAACATAAAGCAACAACAATTGCAAGATGCTACTACATGGAGCTAGCAACATAATCGTACACGTACCCTAGCATCGTCTAGGCTTAATACTTAATAGTTCAAACAAGGAAACTATTAATTAATTCCAGACGAAGAGAGTATGTACATCATGGTAACGATGGAGCATTATTAAGCATGGGTGCAACAAATGCATCTTCGGCGAAGACCATGGCAATTTCCAGCGGGATATCCTTCATACCTGCAAACGGTGTCACAGTTGGAGTCCCTTGAGCAAGGTCCCCTGAATGTTTTACTTGGAGATTTGCATTTCTTCCTGCTAAATATTCCAGCTTCTGCCTTTCTTGGACCCGCGTCTTCTGCTCGCCACATAATCAACAACAAAATTGTTTAAATTTACTGCTTTGTATAGCTTTAATTTTTTCAATCTACTACTTGTAATTTCGTAAATATTATCCCAAACAACATTGCTTGCTCGAATAATGAAATCTTCGTAGTCATACTAAATCAACATGTAAATGTAACGTAACTAGGAAAATGAAGATATTATCAATTTCGTGTTATTTGTGGCCTTATTAAACATATCAAATTGTATTTTAATCATAAACAATATTATAATAACGATTAACCGATTATATTGTTTATCATTACAACATTATAATAGTTATATTTCAAACGACCACTGTAATATAGGCTCACTTTAATTTGTAAATCAAAGCTTAGCTTGATACTTTGCATGCATGCATGAGATTGAACTATTGAAGTAATGCTACGGATTACTGTATAATGACTCCCTTTCTATTCGATATGTCTAAAATCTAATAATATAGCATAAACTATTTCGGTTTTTTAAAAAAAAAAAAATTGGTAATTTTATCCATATATTACTATATGTACGTATGTACTTCTACACTAATTAAATTGAAATGAACCTACAATTGAACTTCAACACATTAACGTATAGTTTGATACTATCATATATAAATCATAGCTCGATAAATAATAAACCAAGTGTGGTGCTCAAAATAAAATTTGAAGGAAAATAAAGATAGGATGGATTAAGAACCTGTTGACAAGACAAGTAAGCACACAAGGAAAAGCACAGCAATTTGCCTCATTGACATCTTCATAATTATCTTTATAGAATTATAGAGTATGATATAAATGTATAAGATGATAACTAACACAAACTAACGATTATTTATAGTAGAAAAAAAATACACTATTGAAAAGGTTTAAAGGTATAATGCCGAAATAATATGGGACACTATTATTATGTCTTGGTGCTAAAAAGCTTCTGACGAGGCAAGTGTTAAGTCTGTTTAGGCCCAAAGCCCAATGTGCATCTACCGACATATTTTGTGTGTGGTATTTAGATGACCCGATTGATGAAATATCTAGACTAAACGCTTGGTCTACGTGGTTCGAGTATTTAGACCTATCAATAATGATAATTGACCATACTCGAGAGCATCTAAATTGACTAAAATTGAGATGAAAAATTCAGATCTTATGAAGTCATTTTGAAATTGAACTTTACACTTGTAAAACAAACATTATACGAAGTATAGATCAAGTATATGTGTCATGAATATGACCTCTTGACAAGTATCGTCTGATCTGATTTATAATTTTTTAGAACCAAAGAGCTCGTTCTAGCCTAGCATGGATTAAATTCAACTTTTACGAGTACTTACAGGTTACAACACATCAATCCCACAATGATTGATTAGTTTGAAAGGTTTACTTTCATATGTAGGTGATTTAATTAATAGGGTATTTATGTCATATTTGATGACAAATTGTTGTCGAGGTCATGCCAATACATACATGTATTTAAAATGTGACTACTTAGGGCCTGTTCTCATACGTTTATTTTTAGTTCTGTTCAGTTCAGTCCAGTTCGGTTCAGCTCAGTTCAGTTTGGTTCAGTTCAGTTCAGTTTTGTTCAGTTTAGTTCAGCTGAGTTCAGTCAATGAGAACAATCCCTGGCTTACTTCTACTTTGTTAGAGCTCGATGTCTCTTCCTAAAATTTGAATAAGAGTTATAAGACGGGTGATGAGAATCGATCTCATGATTCCTTAAAATCGAAAGAAAAGTTCTATCTAGCTGAATCCCTCACTTTTCCCTAACATTTGTGAGATTTATCAATAGCTCTTATAATTCTACCTTACCTCAAACCATATTAAATTTGAGCTGCATACTATTAATTGCATTCAACTGTAATTAACACTTATGAGAATAAATGAGAAAAACAATACGAAACATAACAAGTACGAGTATATGTTTTTTCCCGTGTACTCCGTATAAATTAAATATATAGCAACAAAAGATACGGAGTAGTCAAAGAAATGTGTATACTATAAATAGTGAAATAATACATAGTTACAATTAGAACGTTAAATCTCATATCAATATATCTTCTTCATTATCATCAATTGAACGTTTAAAGTGTGACCACATAAAGTTTTTTTTTTTTTTTTTTTTTTTTTTTTTTTTTTTTTTGGCAATTAAAGACGAGTGTTTGATGGTGCATTATTTACTGTTATGAGTACGTAAATTTTTGAAATGTGCATGTCGGCAATGAATATTTAGTGGTCCTCCGTCCTACTTCCCCAACTTTATATCTTGGATATTTTCTAATTTTCTTCTACCTTTTGTCTTCTATATCAATATGACAATATCAATGGATGCTTTCTCCTTTAAACACTAATAATCATACCCTACTTTAAATTTTCCTTTTTCTTTAATACTCGACTAATTACTAAATTAATTTTCCCCTCAAAAAAATTTTTAAAAGGTAGTGAATTATTTGATTATTATAATATTATTTCCAATAGCTTACAATATCGTCTAGATATTTCTTCTTACAACTCATTTAATGGTATGAATGATTGTCCTCCACCAACAGTTCACCCCAGATAATAAATTAAATTAATGGGACTATTACTATACGTAGTACAACACCTCGTTAAGTCGTTTTCAAAAGTTATTTACGTTCAAATTTTGTACGAGTACTTCGTATCAATGTTTTCACCAAAAAAAAATATACGTAGTACAAAGTACATACTACGTATTTCCGTATATATATATGTTTAACATAAATAAATAAATAAAATTTACATAGATGTCAAATTTTAACAATTTATAATCATTAATATATTCAGTGGTGTATGAGAAAAAATTGCGGTTATTATGATAATTTGCTAATTACTCCGTAATAAAATATGCAACAAGAGAAAATTTTCAAGATCTATGAATATATGCTTCAAACGTAAATTCAGCTCAAATCCAATTAGAAATAGAACAAGTATACAGTACAGATCCTTTGAACTATCCTTATTTATACGGAGTATCATCAAATAGACAAATACATGATGAATACATCATATTACTCATTAGTCATTACTACTACTTCCGTTAATTATTATGTGCCATAAAGAGATATTATTTTTGAAACATAAAATATTTCGTTGTTGCACATAATACTTAACGGAGGTTATAGTTGCAAATATTACAGATATTGACTACTTAGTATTATGGAATACTTGTTTAGTTAACTTATCAACCATGAGAATATTGTGGTATAGTATTATTTTTATAAACAACTAAACTATAAAAGCTTAAAAATATTGTAATGGTCAACTGAAATATGGATACCATAATGTATTAATGATTATTTAGATCATTATTGACTTAATTTAATTTTCTTCAAGTAATATACGAAGTATAAAGTACTGCGTATATATTTCTTTATTTTTGGTATAAAATATATAGTGATAGAGTATAAAAGGTATTCCTAGATTAAATTAAATTTTCAAAAATTATTTTACATTAAAGATGTTAAAATATTAATTGTGTTCCCCGTCAAATATATACTTCCCCCGTTCTTTTTTTATTGCACCATGCATGAGGGATTTCACGCTTGCCAATAAAATTTTTTTAACTATTAATGTCTTCAATTATACTTTTGTAAAAATTATAAAAATTTGATATTTAAAAAGAATATTTCGAGACGTATCTAACTAGATCCCACATGACTATATTTTTCCGAATGAGTAAATCACAAATGATGGTCAAAGAAGATTAAGTGAATAGTGTAAAAGTCCTAATGGTGCAATAAAATAAAAACGGAGGAAGTATATATATTAGTTGTACTGTGTTCAGATTATAATGTGAAAAAATAAACCAATTATATTATTTTATTATTAAAATACTATAATAATCATATTTCAAACGTCCGCTATAAAAAGAGGGATACCCAGTCAATTCCTCAAATAAATCAAATTTGTTTATATGGGAGTATAATTGTCTTTTCAAGTAGCAGTGGAAGGGTATATGCGTCTTTTCATAAACTAGTTGAGGGGCACATGTGTAATTTCCTCACCAAACGATAAAAGGAAAAAACAAACAGTAATTGGACAGCTCACCAAAAATACTACTACCTCCGTTACATATTATTTGCAACGATTTGACATAAAGTAGAGAGGAAAAATGCCTAATCGTTGCACATAATATGTAACGGAGGTAGTATATAAATGACCTTGCCTTTTCAATATATTTACAAAATATCATCAGATTAACAAAAATTCGTTTATCTAACAGATTAACTAGTGACAAGTTTGTTGCATGCTTTCCCTTCTTGTTACTTTCGCACGAGATACACAAAGTCGCAAAGTAGACATGGACATTCCCTCAAAAAAAAAAAAAGTAGACATCCATTGACTTTAAGCCGCGCAAGCTGCGCAACATGCCAACATACCTTATCTTAACGCCATCCACGCATAGCGGCATAGGTAGATCTAATAAGGGGCCTCTGAGTACGACTGTGTCCCACCATTTTGGCAAATTTTATACAATAAATTGATACTTGTTATAGATAGAGTATGTAGTCAATTCTAACTTCAATTCACAAGTATTCAAACTCCATCCTTTAAATTCTAATCTTTTTTATTTTATTTTTAAAAAAACATAAAAAAAAAGTGTGTTAAAAAATAATGACTCATGCCGGAAAGAGTGATACATTCTCTTTTATTTCATGCACTATATGATTTAACACGGGCATATTCTAGTTTATTTACAATAAGAAAACAAAAGATAACAAGAAACATGCATTGAATTTACAATTAGTTAATTTATACTCTGTAATTTAATAATTTAGATTCGCCTCTTACACGGACGAAAAAAAAAAGAATGTTAATAATGTAGACTTGCTAAGTTGCTATTGTTAATGTTTATGCAGATGCATACAAATATAAATTTTTGTATACATCAATAATGAACTCACAAATTACATCCATCACACATAATATCTAAGTTATGTTAATGTTTTCATATAATCATACATATTAATGTTATGATAAGATGATTTTAACTTAACCACCTCGGGGATTTTTAACTAGCTCCCAAAATCAAATTGTTTATGCTACAAAAATAAGTTCAAACCAATGTACCCCAAGTTTTGGGGCATTGCCCTACAACTCTAGAACTAGAGTTAGTTGCCCTTAACCCCGCACAAACGAGACCCTCGTGCCAAATCGTCCTCAAAAAACATATAGGTTCAAGATATGTTCTATCACTTAAGACCTTTTGAGTTATTGTAGTCCTTCCATAGTTCCATCGTTTTCATCTAATCACTTTCAATTGGTTCAATTTTAAACTTTTATATTTTCACTTTGAAAAACCTATTGTTCTTTGAAGTTGTACCAATTTGCATGTAATCTCCCCCTCTTGGGTAATTTCCTTTATAATTTTATACACTAATTTTATTTAACTTTCACCATATACACTCTCATTCTACAATATTTCCCTTTTAAAGTAAAAACAAGTACCATAATATAATTTAAATGCAACATGTAGGGATCCAAACCTTTTATCGTATAAATATGACAATCGATATAATAATCCATTATTTATAATACTCTGTATTATATAAAAGTTGATAAGTTGAAAGTATTTCGTATTATATATGTAATAAATATAATACTGCCGGACAGTTTTACAATGACTACAATAAAATTGTAGCCACTACAATAACAAAACCTACACCCTTGATTATCATTATGTAAATTAGAACCGTTGATTTAAGTTGACCATAAAAAATACCAAAAAAAAAGAAATTTAACTATTTTTTCCTTAATCCTCTACACAATAAACTACTCCATTCCCTCAAAAAAAAAATGAAACTACTCCATTGATAAATTTTACTTCGTATAAAGTACGAAAAACAAAATAATGCACTTGACTTGGTTTCAAAAAAAAAAAAAAAAAAAAAATGCTCTTAACTGCTTAATATGAAATCCATCAATTAGTACAAGAATTATGGAGAGCAATAATTCAATCATTATGAACTGTATAATTATTCTACGGAGTATATATGTATCAAATTAGCCATGTAACTGGAATAAAACTATCCAATGTATAAAAATCATATTCCTTTTTTCTAGGTTAGTTGGTAGTTTTCCATTGATTGTTTTTTGGTTATACTTTGATCCATCCATCCTCCATACCTATCTAATGGAGATTTATGTTGAAGGTGAATACTTTGAAGAGTTGAAACTGCATCAATGGCAGTGACAAAGAAGTTATTTTTTTTTTATTTTTTTCTTTTTTTTTTGTAAAAAATAAAGTAGTTTTTATAATTAATTATAATTTGGAAGTCAAATATATGAATGGACAAGATTAATCATTAATATTTAAACGGTTGAGATTGAAAATAGTTATAATGGCTACATTTTTAATGTAGCCGTTGAAAAGTCTTCCAATACTGCCTCTGTTTATAAAAAAAATATAGCAATCAAAGGGTGGAGAACGAAGTGTAATAAAATTCTCACCCTCAATGTCCCCCTAATTAAGATTTATCTCACAATGATCTCAGTTGTAAGATACAATCTTTATCAATAATAGATCAAGTATTATTTATATAAATACGTAAATAAAAGAGATGACATGATATTAAAAGTACAAATACAAAGATACAAAACCGTCCATATTATTACACACAATAAGCCGGCTAGTAGCCTTCAAGCAGTATATCTTTTACGAGTATCAAGCCTTAATTTTTTTTTTTTACATCAACGTACTTTTTCTTGTAAACATAAGGAGCAAGAAAAGAAAAGGAAACATTAATAGACTATCCTCACGAGGAAAACTCTTAATGCAACGACAACAACTGCAACGTACGTAGATGAATGGACGATAACATGACTTGTGAATTATTATTCACAAGGCCTGCTGCACATGCATCTTCTACGAAAGCCTTGACAACTTCCACTAGGAAATCTCTCAGAATTGCAATTTGATTCACAATTCCTGCTGCTAACGCATATTCCTTTGAATGTGTGACTAGGAGTAGTACATGTCCTTGCTTCTGCTATTTTTGGCGCAACCTCTATTTTTTCCCCCAATTATAAAGGAGAAATTGAACAAAAATAAGTCAGATTAGAGTAGTGATAGACAGAAATTAAATTCTTTTTTATTATAAATTAACTAATTAAAACAATTAAAAATTATACATATTCTCAATTAATGATTGTATCATACTATTATCATTATCATAGCTTTTATGTTATTACCACATAATTTTAACCATTAAATTGAATTTCTATGACATGGTTGTACCATTATAAAAAGTTGACATTCAAAACAAGACATCAAAACAAACCCTTTTTTTTCTTTTCTTTTTTTTCATTATTTGTGTTTGTGTTTGTGTGTGGTATGTGACTTTCTAGAGATGGATAGAGATAATGTTTTAGATAAGATAATAGAAGTTGCTTTTTGAGGTATGATAGTCTTTGAAAGTTTGAAGTAGACAACTATATTTAATATAGAGACTTAATATTCTAATACTCTTTATAATTCATTGGAGATGAATGAGAATATAAAGAAGGGGTTAGAATTAAACTACAAATCAAACTTTTTTTTGAAAATTTAATAGTTTTAACTAGTACTTGTATATTCTAAAGAACGGCTATAAAAAAAATTTATAGTTTACTCTAAAGAATAACTTCCTCTATTATAGTCACAATAAAGTTTAATAAGGGTTAAAAAAAAGTTTAATATGCAATGAATTAGTCCACGTTATCAAATACTCTTTGTAATTTTTTTGTCTTCGTTTTTATTTGTGAGTTTGTGACCTTTAATAACATAGTACGTCAGTATAGTGAGGTACATATACTATTGTTATGCAAACAAGGATAGTATAAAGCGCATGGTATTTTCAGAAAATATACCATGAGAGACTGAGAGTTACGTTTATACTAATAACAATAATAAAAATAAAATTGTTACGTAGTAGTATGAGAAATTAAAGCACTATTGTTTCCTCTTTGATTCAAAATATCATAGCCCTTAATTTTGTATTGCATAATAATTAAATCTATTTTTTCAAAGGAAAAATATATATTGTGGAGCTAGAATATACGAGTACTAGGTAAAACTATTAAATTTTCAAGGGAGGAGAAAGAACCTGCTGCCAAAACAAGCAAGAGCACCAGAAAAATTGCCTGCTTCATATTGATGATATATATTTTGTAAAAGAGCTATAACCTTTAAGATTAGGATAGTGTATGTTTGGTGATGCTAATCAACACAAACCAAAACCTATTTATAGAAGAAAAAAGTTGAAAATAAAATAAAAATAAAAATCTATGCCAAATAATATTTGTACATTTAATAATACTCATTTGTCTTGACGTGCAGTGGCGGATTTTGGCCGAATACATAATTAGAAAGACTGAAATTTAATATTTAATCTCTTGCTCAGATCTAATCACTATGTTCCAATATTTTATAAATAAATATAAGTTATTTTATTTCATTTATTAATTAATTAAAATAATTTATGGAGGGCCAGGCCCCGAATGACTCTGGTGGAAGGTCCTTTGTTGACGTGGAACATCATTATTATCTCAACCAAAATGCAATGTTACCGACACATGAGTTATCCTAGGATCCTAGCAAATGATAAGAAGGTGACTTATGTTGTTGTGACAAATGTAAGATCGAAATATTAGCGGAAAAAACAATTTAAAACACATGTAGAATTATTTTTTTTTCGTCTTACGACTTTTAGCTACCACAATTTTTTAAAATGGATGGTTGAGATTATTATTTTTGATTTATTTTAATTAGTAATTTTAATTAAAAATATTAAAGAATAATTTTTGGAAGATAAAAATATATTTAAACAATTAAAAAATATTTTTAATTAAAATTACAAATTAAAAAAAAAAATAAATAAATAAATAATCTCAACCTTCCATTTTAAAAAATTGTGGTAGTCAAAAGTCATAAGACTACCTTAGAATCATCAGTGTTTGAAAATTCTAATGTAAGTAGGTAAAATGACAGTTTTTAACATTAATCTCGGATCCTAGAATTTAAGAAATATTGATTATAGGGTTTGTTGGGATGAATTATAGTTAGTACATAAGATTTTACACTCTCAAGTTGAATCACTCATGAATGTCATGATGAAATATCGATTCAAATCATATTTTGACATAGACTCTTCTTTTCACCTTGGTCTAATCTAACTTCCTCTATCAGTTTTGAAACATCGGTTACAGTTGACCTAACAATGACCATTAATATCTCTAATCAAGGGTGGAGCCAAGGGAGGTCTGTTTGCCCCATTCTCAAAGCTTGTATTTTGAGATAAAAACTACTAGTAAATGTAATGGTAATAGATATACTTGAGTTGATTTTATAACTCTATAATGAAGACATTCTCACTCGTGGTTGGCGGGCCTTGAGTTCAATTCCCCTAACTTGAAGGTATTTAAAATTCGTTTTTGGGCCATTTATACCTCTCTCTTTCTTATTTATCTAAATGGCTTGATAATTATGACCCAGTCCATGAAATGAAAAAAAAAAAAAACAATAAAGTTACAATAATTATAATATAGCCTATGAGCCTGTTTTCTTACGTTGAAATTCAGTTCAGTTCAGTTCAGTTCAATTCATTTCAGTTCAGTTCAGTTCAATTCAGCCGAGTTCAGTCAATGAGAACAGGTGCTAAATCTCATACACACATGCTTTTAAAGATCAGAGTGCGTCTACAACTTTAAAGAATTACATAAAAATCTGTAAAGATGGAGTTGTCCATTGAACTTATATGGTACAAATTCTCTAATTCTCCTTAGCTTTAAAACCGAGTAGTTCACTTTTAGCTTATTTAATATGCTACATATATAATTTTTTTATTGATTTCAAGTTGATTGTTATTAATAATGAAAATCGAGTTTCAAAAGGTGTAAAATGAGTTCATGTAAGTTTACGCCCCAAAGGATCACTCATTATATCTTAAAAAATTAGTTCTTTTCTCTCTTAAAATTCTCCCAGAACACCCGGCCCTTAAGATTAACAAACCTTTTTTTTTTTTTTAAAGGTTAGATATCCTTAGAATCGAGAAATACTTTAATAACTCCATTATATGTACAAGATATAGGACTTTATTTTCCACTTTTAGCAAAGTGACTAGCAAATTAAACGACTTTATAATTTCCACTGTTAGCAAAGGGACAACAAAAAGATTATCCTCCACTTTGATTATTAGTGAATGTGGTCATTTATTGAATAAAAAATAATCATAACAACAACTAATAGTAATAATTTTCAGAAAAGATCTAGTTCCATTAGAATTGAAGCACTGATACATAAGCCTTTATTAAACTTGCGCATGTCGTTAATCAATACTATGCTCCTCAGTCCTCATACAGTAGTACTTAATTACCGACTAATGAAGCTATAATGATTAACTTCGATAATTAGTGCACACTAATTCATCTTGTTTATCTAGATGCAAAGGAGGATCTTTCACTGGGGCCATTCGGGCCCGGTCCAGTAAATTATTGTAATTGATTAGTAAATGTACTTAAATAACCTGTATTATCTTATAAATTATTGAGGCATATTGATTATTTTTTATCGAGAGGTAAAAGATTCAAATTCCGGAGCCTCTAATATTTTCGACCAAGATCTGCCATTGTCTAGATGAATCTTTCTTTAGATGCCGACAATGAGGCCTTGTCATCTTTTGGGAAAATTGTGTTATTCCTTTTCATATTTAAGGTTTTTTTTTTTTTTTTTTTTTTCATGTTGAACATGGTTTTTTATGCTCTAGCTGTGTACTTTGCACGTAAAGTGCTCGACGAAATGCCGCAGAGAAAAACTGATGAATTGGAATTGTATGATTTCTGGGTTTGGCAGGAATAACATGATAATATTGATTTCTCGGTTTGTTTAATGAATTGTATGCCTGCTAAGAATATTGAGGTAAAAGATTCAAATTTCGGGGCTAAGAATGTTAAGTGAGTATATTAAATTAGGGTTATGTTTCAGAATTCAGATGTGATGTGTTGGATACAAATCAACCCTAAATTGAATCGAATGACTCATCACCTCGAATAATGAGCAGTCCCAATCTGAACAAGCCATTTGCCATCTTGAGTAATGCATTATACACATCTTATACATAGGGTGTTGTTTAATGATAGTCCTTACAATTATAAAATTTTGGTCCACTATCTATCTTAGTGGCATGCTTGACTCTGTTTGTATATAGGCCTCATTGAGTCAATATTTGTGTTGATAACATGGCTCCAATTTTAGGGTGGCTCAACAATGAACGAGTCGATGATGGAGTATATAAACCGATCTTAGGCTTCTAAGACCAAAAATTTTTAGTAAAGGCATTTGGAATAATGTTCATATTTCATTGAGAACTTTGCATTTTAGGAATGCGAGTATGACAGATGGAAATTTTGTACAGACCGCATTACATATCAAAGTAGTGATAGGGAGCATGATAAAATACCATAAAAGGCTCATATCTTCGGGTCTGCAGGTGCTCATCTAGAGTTATGTCACCTAGCTGAGGTGATTAAGCACATAGCAGAACGATAAATTTCTGCTAGAAGTTCAACAAAAAGGTGAATTACCCTATTTAAGTAACTGATTTGATGCATTGACAAGTTTTAGTCTCTCAGAAGTAATGTTCTATGTATACTGATGATCAATGTTTTACCTTGAATTTTGTAGTGACGATCATGATATGGTGATTCCGTATACAGGCCAGGGAGTGATTAAGGGAAGCATAGGCAATATCACTAAATAGAAATCATCGACGAACACAGGCCAGGTTGATGGGTAAAGATGGTAATGCTTAAATCCATTGAATACGGTGCATCCGATTATTGACATTGATTTCAGACTTGCAGTTTTCAGATTTACATAATGTTATTCCTAGAACTTCCGGCCTTTTTTTACTGATAAGGCCAACTCTGATCTTATACTCTGTGTTACCTTAAGAGTATGGTTCATCTTCATAGTCTCTTTTACCTCACATGCACCAAATTTGATCAGTTGACAGACTTGCAGTATTCAGATTTACATAAAGTTATGCCTAGAAGGCTAGAACTTCCGACTTTATTTTTACTGATAAGGCCAACTCTGATCTTATACTACCTTAAGAGTATGGATAATCCTCATACTCTTTCACCTGTCATATGTACCAAGCTAGATCAGCTGACACAATATCAAGCAAATGATTATGCACCGTCGTTGCACACAGATCATTCTGCAAGCCCTGTTATGCAGGGTGCTGGGCATATTGCATATGGTGCCAAAAGACAGTAAGACAAGGTTAGAGCTGAGATGTACATGTTTAGCTGTATGTAATATCAGTATGTCACAAAAATAGACGAGTCTGGGGCAATAGCTCAAAAGCATGAAACTATATGTTTATTGTGTGACTAACAATATCGAGTTATCAACTGTCAAGATATATTACTATAAATTGCAACTTTACAATGTAAAACAACAAATTGATCATGCAGTTTATTCTGTTAATTAGGTGGCGTGCAATTCAGTGTAAACAATAGAGGGAGGGAAAACAGAAACAGCTCATTTGATGGGGCTTGACAAGGTTTTATATATTTCTTTATATAGGAAAATGATTTTAATTAAAGAAAATAATTTGTCTATAATCATAATTATTGAGTTAAGTCATGCAAGATTATATCAATAAAATTTCAGATTTTTGGAAATTGAAGATCTTATCAGATAATGTCATTGTCCATTATTTTATCTTTGTATACTTGATGATTTTCTGGGTAGATACAGATTGCAGTTGAATATGCAGTGTTTATTTCATACAAGTTACACCCTTATTCCAATCATTTAGCATACTGTTTTGTATGAAGATTATAAGTTCATGAAATAAGAGAAACCATAATAAGGTCAATGTTATAGACCTTATAGTAGTAATTGCATTGTTTTATCAAGAAAACCAATTCAAAATGCCTAGCAATTGTCATGTTGTTACAGTAGCAACACTAATTATTTATGTCATACTTTGTTTTACTCTGATTAAAGCTGCACCTCAAAGTTCACTTGTTACACATTTGCCAGGTTTTAGTGGCAGCTTCCCTTCTAAGCACTACTCTGGGTAAGCGTTACATTATTCTTTTTTATCTTTCTGAATTTGTTTAGTTTGTACAATGGATAGATCAATTGTAGAGCTGATCAAATCAACCCGGCCTGCCAGCCAATTTTTGGCTTGATTAATTAAAGCTTAAAGGCTGATTTCGGGGTCTGAATCGAATATTTTTGGGGTGATCTATTATGCGGGCATGGAATATCTTCTTATAATGTGTAGCCTAGCCAAATACGTCCTATGATCAACTCTTACCCAACATGATTTTTGACTTTGTATATTTTCATTATTGTTGAGTGAAAATGGATGTGATTTTTTGTTTTAAATTTCTTATTTATTATTGTTGTTACATGTTGGTGATGTTCAAGGTATGTGCCAATTGATGAACATAACGCGAAACACATGTTCTACTATTTTGTGGAATCAGAAAGAAATCCTGCAAAAGATCCTGTTGTTTTGTGGCTTAATGGTGGACCTGGATGTTCAAGCTTAGGGGGCTTAGTTTATGAGCATGGTAACTCTTTTTACCCCTACTTTTTCGATATAGTACTTTATTGTCCGAATGTTAAAAATCTTAACTTTATGGCTCTGGCGGATATACAATGTGTTATGAGGTGTCGGTTTACACCTAGTATTTCTAAAGAACAACAATGGTCATTTGTTTTCCAATTCACAATAAAAATAATAATTTATGACGGGAAATTTAATTGTAACTTGTCGCTTGTCACCTACTTTCACTGTTTAATGATCAAATTTATGTGTCGTCAAACATGAAAGTCAAAAGGGTGCATGTATTGGCGTATTTGATGTGAGTACCTTGATTTTATGTTGGAATCGTTATTTAATTGCGGTTGAAAATGTACATAGGCCCATTCAAATTTGAAGCCTCTGGCCCAATTAGTTCTCAAGACTTGCCAAAACTGCATCCTAATCCATATAGCTGGTCTAAGGTCTAATCCTACAACTTTTCTACAAACTTCAGACTAACTTTGAACAATTATTGATGAGTTCATTTTTAAATTACTACTCCATTATAATCTCATAATTTATACTGTTTATGCTAATTAACTAGTCTGTTTTAGCAGGTGTCCAACATTATCTACTTGGATTCACCAGTAGGTACTGGCTTTTCTTTCTCAAGGAACACAAGTGATTACATAACTGGGGACTTAAAGACTGCAAAAAATACACTCATTTTTCTGCTTAAGGTACTTATTTGCTTGTCAATGTATAATTAAAAAAATGTTAAACTGTCCTATATAGTAGATACCTTTTCAATGTGCAAACTTCAGTTAAAACTTAAGTTAGGATGCTATATGGAAATTTCGCCCCTTGTTAGTTGCCTAACTGTTAGGTACGCAGTAATTAGTGTAACTTTATGAACTAATATTGCAGTAGATGTTTAAGCTCTACAGAAACTAATTCCATTTTATTTTTATGAAATTTGATATGCTGCAAATATAGTGGTTTGAGATGTTTCCAGAGCGCCTTAACAACTCATTTTTCATTGCTGGAGAATCATATGCTTGAATTTTTATACCAACTCTTGCACTTGAAATAATGAAAGGTATCTAATAGATTTCATAGAGTACATTTTATCCTTAGAAAGGAGAGGGTGATGTATTATTTGTTTCCAGTCTCATGGTTGATTTTTTGTAGGACTTGACTTAGGTTCGAGGCCTATCATTAACTTAAAGGTATGCACCTTAATATTATCTTCCGGACATTCTATAATAGTATATGTAACTACAGAGTTAGATTTTGGAACGGATGGATTAATAGATTACAGTAACAATATTTCCTCTATACACAGGGCTATATGATAGGAAATGGAGTTACTGATAAGTACTTTGATGGGAACGCTGCTGTTCCTTTTGCTCATGGAATGGGCTTGATCTCAGATGATCTATATCAGGTAATCTTGACATACAATTGTTCACAAAGTAGTAATCTAACTGATTAAGCCCGAGTTTTTAGCTCAAATATCTGCATTCCTGCAGGAAATTGTCGATGTATGTCATGGCAGCTATTTAACACCATCAAGCGAAACATGTCAAAGCAAACTCGACAAGTTTGATGATGTAATTGATTTCAGCTCTTTTAAAATGAAAGTTTATGTTCTTTTACAGAAAGATTGCTGACTTTCTTTGCCTTCTGATAAACAATAGGTCACTGAAAATGTGAATCTTTATAACATCTTGGAACAATGCTATGATTTTTATTATGATGAAGGGTATCAATGCTATACCTGCATTGATGACGAAGATCTTGATAATGCTAATATGAAATCGTCAAGAAGCTTTGGCAAATTTGGACACAATGAGAGGCGTCTTCCTGTCCAGAGAAAGTTTACAGATCATAAAATTAGTTCAATTTGGTCACAAGTTATTAGCAACGTTAGTACTTTATGTCATGTAAGTAAAAGTTAGTATAAATTTTTTACTAATTCCCTTGTTCCGGTTCAAATTGTCATTACTCGTCGTCTATCACGACTATCAGTCCTGCATTAATGAATGCATAAAGAGTTTATAATGATCCTTTAAATTTTAGATCAATGCTTTACTTGTTATCTTTTACAGCTCGAAATTTTAGCTATAAACAGGAAAGAAGTTCCAAAAATCAGAAAAAGTAGCTTCAAATTAAGTATGTAGTCAGTTCTAAAGATCAACATGACTAACTTTTGAGTATCCATAAACTAGAAACTGACAGTGAGATATACCGAACTGGCCCTTAAGATTCGATCAATTACTGGTATTGCAGTCCCAAATTTACTGTCACAGTAGAGTTCTCAACTCTGTTTATGTTAAGGACTCACTTCCACTTCATAACTTTATCAGAGTGATATGGCTCCCATCCTGTGGCTTAACAATAAGGCGGTCAGGAAAGCAATGCATGCTGCAGAGGTAGGATAAGCACCTTTGATCTGTTCTTGGTAAAGCCACATAGAAAACAAGCAAATTCATTGACAGTTTGATTATTCCCTGGTAATTTTGCATCAGGAAAGTGAGACTGGAAGATGGGATTCTTGTACAGACCGCCTCACATATCATCGTGATGTTGGGAGCATGATTATCTATCATAAGAGGCTTATTTCTATGGGCCTGCGGGTGCTCATTTACAGGTATGTTAGCATTTAGTAGTTACATATATCTAAGTCTATAGTTTAGCTTTGTGCAAGTCCATAAATTCTGTTTTAAACTGAATTTTGTAGCGGAGACCATGATATGGTGGTGCCATATACTGGAAGTGAAGCATGGACAAGATCACTTGGTTACAAAATCATCGACGAGTGGAGACCATGGTTTACAAATGGACAAGTTGCTGGGTACATTCATTCTACTAAAATCTTAAGAATGGTAAAGCTAAATATCAGAGAATTATGGTGCATTTAATAATCATCCTACTGATTGCAACTTTCAGGTTTACACAAGGTTATGACAGGAACCTCACCTTTCTTACTATTAAGGTCAGCAGCCCATAAGAACCTTGCTGTATAACCCATAATAGTTATTTATTAATTGTACTCGTATGAGTCATTTCTATTATCCTAATACGCATATAACAGAAAGTTCTTCAAACATGACAAATATGTCCTCATAATTGGCTACTGATTACTGACCATCATTCTGCATTCTCTTTCAAAACAGGGCGCGGGGCATATGGTGCCAGAAGACAAGCCTAGAGAAGCATTAAAATTTTATAGCCAGTGGTTGGCAGGAAAGAAAATTTGAGAAAACTGGACTTGGAAGAAACAAGTCCAAGACATTGGTAAAGTATTCTTTAAGCTTTGTTATCTATAATCACCTAACAAAGAATTAAGGTGAAAATATATTTTGTACAAAATTTGCTCACCTAAATGGTGGTCAGAGAAGCCAAGGTCAATTGTTCAATACAATGGAACATTGTTTGATTGAAAAAATTGGTATGTAGATAACAGTTGAAACATAATTCAGATTATTGAGTTCTACACTAGTAATACAATATAAGTTACTCCAATATACAGCAGCAAGCAAGCTAATATCTTTTTTTTTTTACCTTATGAAACTCTCCATCATGCCAATCTTGATCCATATTATGTATATATGTAGAGATGAAATAACAAATCTTCAGGGATTTGAACAGAAAGACATGTGATGCGTGCTTGAAATGGGTTTGAGATGAGAATTTAAAACACAATTTGCAAATAAGTAAAATTAAATGTATCTGAAACATAAAGAGACCTGCAGAAGCCTTTTAGAATGATATGTTTCATGTTGTGTTCACATGGAGGAAGTACATCAACGTCCGATTCTGGAGATCAGGTCTCCTTGTCAATTATTTTGAGACTCAGCATATCTGACACTTGGAAATATACACATATTCGAAACTTCTAACCATGATTGTGTAATATAAAAATCAGTAAAGTGAACAAAGTTGATCATACAGGATACAGAACTAAACATAGCATTGGCATATAATAAATCGTGAACAAAATTAAAGTTATACTTTTGCAATGTTTAACAAGTAAATGGTCAGAGTTGATGACCTTACTAATCGGATTTGAAGGCCTGTATAATATTCTCCATCTAAGACATCAATGAATCATAAAGGAAAAGGTCATTAGCAATCAGTATTTCCTGGATTCTTATTTAAGGAATAAGTATTATGATCAATTTTTTAGTATGATGGCTCTTCCATAAGCCCTGGAAAGCTCAAGAACATGTCGTTTTCTTGATCCAGCATCGCCTCCAAAAATGATGAAGCATCCGAGGAAGCTATTAATGGTGAAGAACCAGCTTGGATTTCCTTACAATCAACCCCTCTATTGTCATTAATCAACAAAAACTCTGCCAAATTATTCTCTTCTTGCTCTTGTACCTGACTTTGAGCTGGTTTGAACGCCTCCTCTAGGAGAAAATCATGCCAACTAAAACACTCAGGGGACTTGGCCATTTCCCCTGCATTGTTATATCCTGAAGAACAAGCTGATGTTGATGAATTCGACGATGATTTAGGTGAAGGTAAGGTTAAGAAATCATAGCTGCTGTTATTGGTTGGTACATTAGTATCGGAATTTGGTCCTTCAGTGACAAAGCTTATGGCTTGCAGTTGAGACAGAAGGTCTAGGGAGTGACTGTTACTGCTATTTGTAGCATAGTTGTTTTGCATAGGTAAGATATTATTATGAGATACTTGTGAATTTGAGAGGAAAGTGTATGAAGGTGTAGTAAAAGAATCTGGTTTAGGAAGGCTAGATGTGTTACTGCTAGCTTTCTTCAGATCCTTTCTGAAAGTTCCGATATACTTTGGGGTGTCAGAAGACCTAGAAACACCGCCAATGTTCCCATAATCAGCTAGGATTTGGGAAAATGGTTTATGAGTTATGGGATCAATCCCCATCTCAGTTAGCTTCTTCCTTAACTTGGTATTCCAATGGTTCTTTATGTCATTTTCTGTTCTTCCTGGTAGCTGATGCGCTATTAAACCCCACCTAAATGCAACATACATTATATGAGACTTAAATCTTACATGAAGGTTGAGTCCATTCCTAGAGATGGGTCAATCATTTCTCGTGTTTAACCAAACAATGTAGCTATGTAAATTTATTAGCCAATCAGGAAATTGGAGATCAAGAAGGAGGATGCCCCGGTTTCTCATGGTGAGAAACAAATTTTGTTTCTCACATGGCATTTTCGTAAATAAACCAACAACTTTATTCAACTGTGGAACCCACAATAATGAAAAAGTTGTTGATTTATTCACGAAAATGCCCCATGAGAAACAAATTTTGTTTCTCACCATGAGAAACAGGGAATTTCCCATCAAGAACTAGTTATGCATCAAAGCAGATCAAAGAATAGATCACTTACCAAAAGCAGAAAATCTGAAGTACTGAGTAACAAGATCATACTAAAACAGATTTAAAATGCATTATTCTTTCTAAGGGGGAGACGAAGTATGTAACCTGCTACCAACAGCAGCATGAAGCTTGATGATAAGCTCCTCTTCCTGTTGAGTGAAACCCTCATCATGTAGATCAGACCTCGTATAATTATTATTATTCCACCTTATTCTACAATTCTTCCCACATCTTTTTGTCCCTAAAAAAGAGAATTTTGCATACAATCATCAACCAAAACTTAATATAAATCAACTTTTCATACACTAATAGATATAAATTGTAACATGAATACATACATGATCATGCATGTAACACAAAACTACAACAATTTATGTGATAATAGCATAGCATCAATTACCTGTTTTTCTTGGAACAGAATTCCAATTCGTCGTCCCCTGCTTCGATACATACGCGAATGTAGTACCATCCTTAGCTTCACCCCAAGCTCCCTTCCTCGCATTTAGTTTATCACAACATGGAGGAGGTCTTACCATCTTAAGTATATCTTCTTAGCATATAAATTATTATGTTAACTTATATTTGCAAATTAAAAGATCATAATAGATAAAATGTAAGAAAATAATGAAGGTATAAAGTTTATACTATATATGATGTATTTATTTATTTTTTCTTAAGAGAAAAAATTGGTTAGGAATGAGTGTAAGAGGAACATAAAATGAAAAAAGCATGAGACTTTTACGATGCATCTCGTCTAAACTAAACTTTCATGATATATGCATTGTAATGAAGATGATCAAGTAAAATGGATGAAATAAATGTTTATAATTTCTTTAATTTTCTCTTTCTAAAATTTGAATTGCATGGCTCTAATGAAATACAGGTTCAATTTGGGTGACTAATTTGGTTAGAGTTGTAGAAGTATACTAATTTAAAATATGTATTTGTTTAATTAGATTTGTTGGTTATTGTGAAAGAGAATGACTTTGTTTTGGATTCTAATTAAACAATCATAAACTTATCGAACATTATAATAAATTTTTAGAAACTTGCTTTAATTCATTAATAAAAACAAGTTCGGGATGAAGAATTTATTGATCCTTCCACCCTACTTGTACACTTTCTCTGATCTCTTCTTGCATAACTGTGAATCTATCATAAATTGAACAATTATTTGTGAAAATGAGGGAGTAATACTTACAAGCAAGTATTTTGTATTAGGAGATTCGATGCAATTATTTAATTTTATCCAAAATTGTTCTAATATCTTCGTGAAAAAACTTTATTTTATCACATACTCAACTCAATTAATCCGAGAGTATTTTTTTTAGTTTTTTAAATAAAGTTATCGGTCGCATATGGTCAAATAAAGTCAGTTAGGGCATGTTCTCTTACATTGAAATTCAGTTCAGTTCAATTCAGTTCAGCTCCTAATTTCCTTCTGTTATAAAATATTCAGTTCAGCTCAGTTCAGTCCAGCTCTGCTCAGTACAATACAGTTCAGTTCAGTTCAGCTGAGTTCAGTTAGTGAGAACAGGCCCTTAGTATGTTGAAATACTCCATACAAAAATTAATATTAAAATCTTATGATATACACTTAACAACTAATAGTATTAGCCCTACCGTTCAAACAATATATTTTGAAATTTTAAAATTACATAGTAAATCTTACTCTTAAAAATCAAAATTTGAGGTCAAACTACAATCTTGACCCTTTTTTTTTTTTTTTGTGATTTACATCGTTTGATGCGTATGGTATGATATGAACTTACTTATTTAGGATTATAATTTTATTGATTTATAATTAAATAATCAATCCCTGAAAATTCGATGAAAATGAGTTGGTCATTATAACTACTAAGTACTAACTACATGCATGTATAGATTGTATACTGTATACATGGGCAGCAGTCTGAACCCATATGCATGGGAAAATATGGCGTGGTGTATAATTAAATTAAATTAAATATGTTGGCAACTCTGAAAAATTAATAAGTCCCTTAAAAGCCAAATCATGGTATACGTATACCACATTATTTGGCCAATATAATGCCACATTACACTTACAAAAGTGAATCAATATTTTAACTTTTGTTTTGCGTCTTTGCCTGCCTATATAGCCTTTGTCATGGAAATTAAGGAAACCATGGAAGGATTCCTTGATAATCAAGATGTTCAGTGGCAGGTTGGGTTACATGGGATTGATGAGAAGACTTAAGAAGAAATGAGAAAATTTTGTGCGTTGGCCTCCCAATGGATCAGCCTTACATAGCAGTTATGTGCCCTCTACTCCATGTGATGGAGATGCAAATGGAATCAATGCTTCCACCAATTTCGAACCCCCCGGAATTGGTGATCACGGCAAGAATTCCCAATGAATTTCAGCGTTTGCTGAACTTGCTCAGGCTAGCTTATGTATCAAGCCTTCCATCTATTCCAGTTGAGTTTATGAATAGCATCCCTAATTTGAACCCGGACACAATACCCATCTCTTGTATGGTGTGGAACGTTCAAGGAGCAGGAAGCAAAAATTTTATCTCTGTTCTCAAAGATCTAGTGAAGATTCACCAACCAAATGTGTTAACTTTAGTGGAAACACATATGGGAGGCGAACAAGCAATAAAGATAGCAGGATGGCTAGGATATGATGGTCACTCAAGAGTTGATGCTATGGGATTTAGTGGAGGTATATGGGTGTATTGGAGAACGGCTCTTGTGACTGTCCATCCAATCATGAAGCACAAACAACACATTACCATGGAGATTTCTAGGGTAGGTGCTATACCTTGGTATTTCTCGGCAATCTATGCAAGCCCGGACCCTTCGAAAAGGAAGGAATTATGGGAGGAGTTAAAGAATTTTGCAGAAACGCATGACAAGCCATGGCTCTTGGCGGGAGATTTTAATGATACAAGATTCCCATCGGAAAGAAATAAATCGTGCCACGAAACTACTAAAAGATCAAGATTGTTTAATAATTGGGTGGAAGAGATGGATCTTTTAGAAGTTGAATTTTCTGGTGCTTCGCACACTTGGGCAAGGGGCAAATCTTTCGAGACTCGGCAAAGTGCAAGATTAGACCGTGCATTGTGCAATTCACAATGGGCGATTCGTTTTGATCAAGCCTCGATGAAGCATTTAACGGCAATTCAGTCAGACCATAGCCCAATTTTTATCTCTCCTAATGGGTTTACACCTTTGCAAGCAATTCATAGACCGTTTCGTTTTCAAGCAACATGGCTAACTCATGAAAATTTCAAGGCATTTGTTGAAGAGAAGTGGGATGGTGAGAGCAATTTAATGCAAGCATTGGCGAAACTATCCACTGACTTACAATCTTGGAATAGAGATGTGTTTGGGAATATTTTCAAGCAAAAAAGATCTCTTCTTGCAAGAATAGCTGGAGTCCAGGAAAAATTAGCTATCAAGGCCGATCGAGGTCTGATAAAGTTGGAGACAAAGCTTCGAAGGTGGCTAGATGAGGTACTTGAGAGAGAAGAAGTCTTGTGGTACCAAAAATCTCGAATTGAATGGATAAAAAATGTTTTCACCTAAGCACTATTGTAAGGAGGTGGAAAAATAAAGTGGTTGCCTTGAAGGGAGAAGATGGTCAATGGATTCATGATAAAGTGGAAATTCGAGATCAGATTGTCAAATATTTCTCAAAGCTTTTTGAGGAGGAAGGAGAACCAGAGAGCTTCGATATTCCTCAAGATGTGTTCCCAGAATTACCTATGGCAGAATGGTGTTCCCTGACACGGCCGTATTCCAAATTTGAGATAGAGGCTGTTATTAAGGAGATGAGTGCGCTCAAGGCGCCAGGACCTGATGGATTCCAAGCCCTTTTTTACCAAAAGAATTGGGATACGATTGCAAATACAGTGATTAGCACGATTATGCCGGCTCTCGAGGGGAAGGGATTACCTGAAAATATGAATGAAACTTTTATTTCCCTTATCCCGAAAATTGACAAGCCTGAATTTGCCTCACAATTTCGCCCAATAGGGTTGTGTAATGTTGCTTATAAGATCATTACGAAGGTAATTGTGAATAGATTAAAGTCGGTCCTCCCCGGGCTTATTTCCAACACTCAGGCTAGTTTTGTTCCGGGACGCCAAATAACAGATAACATAGTCATTGTGCAAGAGGTTATCCATACAATGAGAAGGAAACAAGGAGAAAAGGGCTTCATGGCCATCAAAATCGATTTTGAAAAAGCTTATGATCGATTACGATGGTCCTTCATTAGGGATACTATGGTGCAAATGAATCTACCTATCTTCATGATTGAATTAATTATGGCATGTATTACGACGGCCTCTCTTCAAGTCTTATGGAACGGGGAACCTTCTCCTAAATTTAGACCCTCAAGGGGTAATTAGACAAGGAGACCCCTTGTCTCCTTATCTTTTCGTGATGTGCATGGAGAGGTTATACCAAACAATTGAAGAAGCAATAATTCAAAAGAAGTGGAAGCCAATTCGAGCGAGTCGCGATGGTCCTTTTCTTTCCAACCTATTTTTCGCGGATGATATTATATTATTTGCGGAAGCTAGTATTGACCAAGCCAAAACAATCCATAATTGCTTAAGGAGATTTTGTGATGCATCAGGTCAGAAGGTAAGCCTTAGCAAATCACGAGTTTATTTTTCAAAAAATATGAGCATTGAATCAAAGGAAAATATCAGTGTGGCTCTTGGTATGGAGGCAACTGAGGACCTAGGTACGTACCTTGGCATGCCCACCTTAACGAGTCGAGTGACGAAGGATACCTTTCATCACTTGTGTGAGAAAATTGACAGAAGACTTGTGGGATGGAAATCTAAGTACCTTTCTCTAGCAGGATGGATAACTCTTGCTAATTTGACTCTCTCGACGATGGCAATGTACTCTATGCAAACTGCCAAAATTCCAAGAACGACTTGTGAAGAAATTGATAAAAAAGCTCGGCAATTTATTTGGGGAGGAAGTGATGAACAAAGAAGATGCATTTACTCTCCTGGGAACTGCTTCAAAAGCCGAAAGAACAAGGAGGAATTAGCATATATTCTGCTAAGCAAGCCAATGCTGCGTTTCTCACCAAGCTTGGATGGAGGGTCCTAGAAGATCCTAATGCTCTTTGGGCACGTGTGTTGAGAGCCAAATATTGCAAAGGTAGATGCGATCTTGAGATGTTCGAGCCAAAAGTTGGAATGTCAAATGTATCGAGTGGAATCACAGAAAATGCAAAAGTGATTGGGGAAGGTGTTAAGATTGCGTCTGGGAATGGAAAAAACACATCTTTCTGGAATCAAAAATGGTGTACGGATCAGCCATTAAGAGACTTAGCAACCCATCCAATTCCTGAAGAATTAGCAGCTGCCACTGTCCATGACATGTGGGAAGAAGGAATGGGATGGAGATGGAATATCTTTGGCCCGTTCCTTGAGTCTACTTCGCTGAAGATCATCCAAAATCATGAGTTGAGAATCGATAGCAGTTTGGGGGATTTGGTGTATTGGAAAGATGGAAATAAAGGCAAATTCTCCATTCGATCTGCCACAAGAATTATGAGGCACGAAACTGATTTTCTTGATGATAAGTGTTGGAATGCGGTCTGGAGTGCTCCCTTTCAGCAAAGAATCAGAGCTTTTTTATGGCTTGCTTGCCATGATAGGATCCTTGGGAATTTGAATCGATTTAAAAGAAAGTTAACTGATGATCCTAAATGTCATATCTGTGGTGCGAATGAGGAGAGCACC